AGAAAGGAACAGCTGCTCCACCATATTTCAGAGCCAGGCATTTCAGACATTTGCTATGAATCCTATCTGGGCAAGGAAATGTACAGGAAACAGGGGACATAGACAGTGAAATGTGTCTATGGTCAAATTACAAGGGTTCAAAGCCTGACATATGTTAATAAAAACCATACACACATTTAAAGTGACCTACTGAAAAAACATTATTGCAAAAGCAGACTATAAAAGCAAACACTTTATCATTACCTGTCTGAGGGTTGTTACGTTTAATCTTCACCCTCTCACAGTATACTGTCATGTAGGCAGGTGTAATTTGACCTCCCTGCACAGGTGGCGCTGTCAGCAGCCACCATGCAAGGAGAGTAGGGGACAGGAGGCGCTCACATTCACATTTAGGCCTCCATTGATATCGTCATGTGAGCAGCTATCCAATTGGACACAGCTGCCCCAGGTGACCTTGCACCCATCTGTAGTGAGGGCACTAAAAAGCTCTGGCTCACTGCTGTTGATGCACATTTTAGGACAGGAACCTAGTGTAGGGTGAGGTTTTAGTGGAGGAGGGGCAGAATAGGAACTGGTAACCAGTTTGTCAGTGTGGAACATTTACAACTCCTTGTTGCATCACTGCCTGCAAGCTGCCTCCTCTGCCAGGTGCTGTCAGCATTCAAGTGTGGCTCTCTATAAGGATTTCACACTGATCCCCTCCAAAAACACAGCAAAAACGCATAGGCGCTTTTACCGTGCTTTCTGAACATTTTTAAAGGGCACTTGACTTAAAAAATGTACCAAAAGAGGCATTTTTGAGGCGCTTTTCAGGAGTTTTCCATTGATTTCAATAGGAAGAGGCATTTTTTTTAACTGCCTCCTGCCCGCCATATAAGGTAATGACGGGAGTGCAGCAGTTCTCTCTAACGCTCTGTCATGTGATCACATTGGCTCTGTCATGTGATCAGCTGTGTCCAATCACAGCTGACTGCATGTAAATAAGGAAATGCCGGATATCTGCATTCCTCACCTCATAAACTGTCACGCTGACAGCGTGTGAGGAGAGGAGAACCGGTAATCGGCATTCCTCAGAGGGGACATGTACACAGATCATCAGTGCCCTGATGATCAGTGTAGCCCCATCAGTGCCAACTGTCAGTGCCCATCAATGCCACCTGCCAGTGCCCATCAGTGCCACATTTCAGTGCATACCAGTGCACATCAATGCAACATATCAGTGCCCATCTGAGCTGCCTTTCAGTGCCAACTATCAGTGTCAGCCAGTGCCGCCTATCAGTGCTGCCAATCAGTGCCACCTATCAGTGCCAGTCAGTGTTGCCTATCAGTGCTCATCAGTCCAGCTATCAGTGTCCCTCTGTGCCACCTATCAGTGCCGCCTAACAGTTCCAGTCAGTGCCACCTATCCGTGCCAGTCAGTGCTGCCTATCAGTGCCATATTTGAGTGCTGCCTTTCAGTGCCCATCAGTGATGCCTGTCAATGCCCATCAGTGTCACCTACCAGTGCCTCCTCATCAGTGCAGCCTATCAGTGCCCATCACTGCAACCTCACATCAGTGAAGGATAAAAATTACTTATTTGCAAAATGTTATAACAGAAACTAAGAAAAAACCTTTTTTTTCAACATTTTCAGATGTTTTTGGTTTGTTTAGCAAAAAATAAAAAACCCAGAGGTGATTAAATACCACCAAAAGAAAGCTCTGTCTAAAAAAAATGATAAAAATTTCATATGAGTACAGTGTTGCATGAGCGTGCAATTTTCATTCAAAGTGCTACAGTGCTGAAAGCTGAAAATTGGCCTGGGCAGGAAGGGGGTGAAAGTACCTGGTAGACAAGTGGTTAATGCTCCAAAGATGCTGCAAGCAGGAGTTTTTACACCACACCGCAAGCACAATGCCTCTATGTTAACATACATAGATATACATTCCCATACATAGGGAAGCGTTTTTATTGAGCTTTTCAGGCACTTTTTTTAACACAAAAATGCTTCAAAATCTCCTCAATGTGAAAGTAGCCTAAGGGCTGTATAGCTCACTGTGAGTGTTATCAGTTCACTGCTTCCACCTGGACTCTGTACTGTGTTGTTGGAACTTTCACTTTCACTGCATTGCAATCTCAGATCTCTGTGTCTTGCCTCCCTTCCGTGTATCCAACACTGGTCTGTATTGAGAAATGCCAAAAAAGTTGTCCACTCGCACTCTCATCCCCACTACACCATTGAAGTAAATAGGTGTAGCGCTGCCCCCACAGGGGCCGCTTGACAATTCTTGTCCCCACTGGTTGATCTGACACCTCTGACACTCTGGGTTCAGACATATTTCAACAGTATGAAATAATATTGCAACGGACGCAATTCTTTCGTAACACCTCTATATTAGGCTCCTTGGAAAGAGTAGGTCACAGAGTGAAGCTTCAGGAGGTACATCCCCAGTTACTGCATAAAGGCAAAACACTGATAAAATGGAAATAACAAAATTGCAACAGTTAACAGATTATATGGTCACAAATGGTACATTGTAACTATGTAACTATAAGACCACCAGCAGCAGCAGGAGGGGGCAGAAAAGGCTTGTTGGCTTATTAGCTCTCTCTGGGCCTTCTGCATCACTATAGGGATGTAAATATGTACATGAGGGGTGTCAAGTCAAACCAGGACTTTTGAGTTTATATAATAAAAAAAACACATTTCAAGGAGTGGAAACTGCATTTATTTTTCAACATACTCCCCTGCTACATTTATATACTTAGCCCTGTGTTTAACTAATGCCTGGAAAGCTTCGGCATAGAAAGATTTGTCAGTAGGTCTGAACCATCCTAGGACTGCTTGCTTCACTTCATCATTAGTCCTGAAATGCTGACTTCCAAGGAACTTTTTTAGGGGTCCAAAGAGGTGGAAATCACTCAGAACAAGATCCAGGCTGTAAGGGGGATGTGGCAATACCTGTGCACATAGTGTAAGTGCGGTGAGTAGTACGAGCTTGTGCGTTGTCCTGGAAAACCAGGACACCCTTAGTGATCAAACGAGGCTGTTTTTTCCGCAGATGCATATGCACATCACTCAGGATATGACAGTAATGTTCACTGTTGATAGTGGCATCACGGGGTAGAAAATCCACATGAGTAACGCCAAGTTTTTCCTAGAAAACACTTGAAATCACTTTACCTGCAAGCGCAATTGTTCCGATTTTTTTTTGATGGTGGTGTGTCCGTATGCTTCCATTGCTCTGATGCTGGATTTGATTCCGGAGTGAAATGATGTGCCCAGGTTTCATCACATGTAATGATGCAATCAAGAAAATCCTGGCCTTACCTGTCAAAACGCTCCTTCAATCCAGAGCAGACTTCAACTCTTCTGTGCTGCTCTAAAGCAAAAAGCTGTCTTGGTACCTAACGTGTGCTAGCTATTCAAGAATGCAAATGTTTGTGTATGATCATGTTAATTGTTCCCACAGAAAGATTAGCCTCTTGTGCAATTTCACTACAGGTTACAGTCAGGTCCATAAATATTGGGACATCGACACAATTCTAATATTTTTGGCTCTATACACCACCACAATGGATTTGAAATGAAACAAACAAGATGTGCTTTAACTGCAGACTGTCAGCTTTAATTTGAGGTATTTACATCCAAATCAGGTGAATAGTGTAGGAATTACAACAGTTTGCATATGTGCCTCCCACTTGTTAAGGGACCAAAAGTAATGGGACAATTGGCTTCTCAGCTGTTCCATGGCCAGGTGTGTGTTATTCCCTCATTATCCCAATTACAATGAGCAGATAAAAGGTCCAGAGTTCATTTCAAGTGTGCTATTTGCATTTGGAATCTGTTGTTGTCAACTCTCAAGATGAGATCCAAAGAGCTGTCACTATCAGTGAAGCAAGCCATCATTAGGCTGAAAAAACAAAAACAAACCCATCAGAGAGATTGCAAAAACATTAGGCGTGGCCAAAACAACTGTTTGGAACATTCTTAAAAAGAAGGAACGCACCAGCGAGCTCAGCAACACCAAAAGACCCGGAAGACCACGGAAAACAACTGTGGTGGATGACCGAAGAATTATTTTCCTGGTGAAGAAAACACCCTTCACAACAGTTGGCCAGATCAAGAAGACTCTCCAGGAGGTAGGTGTATGTGTGTCAAAGTCAACAATCAAGAGAAGACTTCACCAGAGTGAATACAGAGGGTTAACCACAAGATGTAAACCATTGGTGAGCCTCAAAAACAGGAAGGCCAGATTAGAGTTTGCCAAACGACATCTAAAAAAGCCTTCACATTTCTGGAACAACATCCTATGGACAGATGAGACCAAGATCAACTTGTACCAGAGTGATGGGAAGAGAAGAGTATGGAGAAGGAAAGGAACTGCTCATGATCCTAAGGATACCACCTCATCAGTGAAGCATGGTGGTGTTAGTGTCATGGCGTGGGCATGTATGGCTGCCAATGGAACTGGTTCTCTTGTATTTATTGATGATGTGACTGCTGACAAAAGCAGCAGGATGAATTCTGAAGTGTTTCGGGCAATATTATCTGCTCATATTCAACCAAATGCTTCAGAACTCATTGGACGCCGCTTCACAGTGCAGATGGACAATGACCCAAAGCATACTGCAAAAGCAGCCAAAGAGTTTTTTTTAAAGGGAAAGAAGTGGAATGTTATGCAATGGCCAAGTCAATCACCTGACCTGAATCCGATTGAGCATGCATTTCACTTGCTGAAGACAAAACTGAAGGGAAAATGCCCCAAGAACAAGCAGGAACTGAAGACAGTTGCAGTAGAGGCCTGGCAGAGCATCACCAGGGATGAAACCCAGCGTCTGGTGATGTCTATGTGTTCCAGACTTCAGGCTGTAATTGACTGCAAAGGATTTGCAACCAAGTCAAATTAAAGCTGACAGTCTGCAGTTAAAGCATATCTTGTTCGTTTCATTTCAAATCCATTGTGGTGGTGTATAGAGCCAAAAATGTTAGAATTGTGTCGATGTCCCAATATTTATGGACCTGACTGTATGTGTCGAATATCCAGGATCAGGCATTCCACATGCTGAATGTTCACAAGAACGACTGCTGTGGGCTGGGAACCACCACGGCTGGGTATGTCACTGACGGACATACAGCCATCTTTGAAACGTTTACACCATTCAAACATCTTTGCTGTTGTTGAGTGTCTCATCACCGTATTGTGCTTGAAGTCTTCTGTCACGTACCTGATAGGAGACTGAAATGATGAGGTCGGGCTCACTTGTGTTACTAGCCCTGACCCCGCTGGAAGTGGAACAGAGAGTGCCTAGGGACCAGGGGAACAAGAGTGCCAGCAGATGTTGCCTGAAGAGCTTGCAGCTGGAGTCCTTAAGAGACTGGCGAACCACTGATTCAGGAACAGTAGTGATGTGCAGAGCTGGTATAGTAGACCGCCAAGCGTGCACCTGAGCAAGGCAGGAAGCTGGAATCGGAGACAGGAGCAACGTCACAGGAATAGCCGGGGATATCAATGGCAGGCAGACAGCGAGGTACCAAATTATAAGCAAGCCGAAGTCAGGAACAGAGCCGGGGTCAGAAACGAGCATCAAGGCAGGAAAGGAATCAAGAGTCAAGTCAGGAACAAGCTGGGTCAGCAGCAAGGGAATCACACAGGAACACAACAGGACACAGGGAACAGCTGAAGACCAGTAAGCACTAAGCACAGGCAGAGGCATCCTTTAAATACTCCATCTGGCGCCAAGATTCATTGCGCGTGTGCTTGTGCGTGATTGCGCATTTCTGTGCGTGTGAACACGTCTGGTTACTATTCTGTGGATATTTCTGTGCGCATGCGCTTTTCTATTAGCCAGCCGTCTCACAGGAATTCCCTTACATCTTCATCAGTTAACGCTGTTCCATGCATGCACTAACATTGTTGTTTGCCATTTTGATTAATGGTCTCTGGATTGGCCCGCGACATGTCCATCGCCAGCCAATATTAGATCACATTTGCCACTTACTACTGCATGTAATACAGCCACACTAGCATCCCTTTTTATACCTGTAAAATGTAAAGTCCCAGTTTGACTTGCACGCTCTCTCTCTCAATCTCTCTATATATATATTTATATGCGCAGTATGAAGAAGGCGCAGCACTTTCTAGCGCCTGTGCAGTGTGAAGAAGGAGCGATCTTGCACCTGCACAGTGTGAAGAAATCCCCGCTATCGCGTCACTTCTAGTCACATAGCGCAAGATTTTGGTATTAGGAATTCCCTAGGACTGATGGGATAGATGATGACGATATCCCAGAAGCCCTAGGGAATGCCTGATGATTTAATCGCCTAGGCGAAGTGGAGATACAAATGATCAATTAAAGGTATTTAGGAAAAAAATATACCTACAGTATATAGTATATATATATATTGCCAAAATGGACTGTGAAAAGGGAGACTATTGTCTTTCAGGGAGAGAAAAAAAAAGGCTGAAACTCCGCTTTAAATGTGAAGAGGTCTCTTTAACTTGAAATAGCAACTTGAGTCCTGAGATGTTTAAAGTTCCTGATATGATAGTAGCTGTTGTCCTCTGCTAGCAATGGTGGGGCCCATTTACAGTAGTGGTTAATAGTAATTCAATAGAGATAACAGATAGGCTGTGGTAAATGCTCAAAGCAAAGGTCTCTTGGTTATTGAGGCATAAAGGTGTCTGCATACAGTGTCTCTAGAGTGTTGTCAGAAAGAGGTTGGGCATCCGCCTGCTCACCAATCCCATGGATAGCATGGCCTCCTAGGAACAGGGTTCTTGCACAGGCTCTTGGCTGTTCACAGAGAAGTGCAGAGTTACTGCCTGAAATCAAAATATTTTAGCTGGAGTTTGGCCATAGTTATCAGTATTTTGCATCAATAAGTAATTCACACACTTAATTTACCTTACATATTAATTTATTTTTGGACATGTTGTATCAGTAAAACATTTAACTGTACTGATAAGCTAGTAAGATGTTTACAGAAATGAATGCCAACCTCACACAAGTGATAAACACATTAAGTGAGATCTATTGTAGGCTATCATCTTTATGGGTAAATATAATCATAAGTAAAGTGTGCAATAACAGTATGCTATTAGTTACCACAGTTTACAAACAGCATTTTTAAGCTGGAATTATTTAAACCAGAGATCTCAAAACTATGCCGCAGAAAGATTTTGAGATATACTGTATCATACCATCCAATGTGCTTAGTCTGCAAATGCAGGCTGAGAGCAAACCAGTTTGTTTTTGTTTTAACGATTAAGACAGACTCATTGCAAGGAATGACCTGGCAGTGGTGCACTTCTATCCCATTATTCAGACAAGGAATACTATTACTGGGGTTATATCAGGCCAATGTTTTTTAAACATTTACTCTCTGCAAGTGTAGGATTTGTATACACATTTTCTTCTATTTGTCTTCATTTTATCATTGAAAGGAATTTTCCAGTGTAAGAGATCATTTGTCTAAGCTAGGTTACTAAATATGCAGCCTATTTGGGTGGTGAAGTTATGTGGACATAGAAATTCTATAACTTAAAAAAATATTTGTGGGTTATATGTGAGACAGCATGAAAAGTCTACTGGCTAGAAATTGGTGAAACAATTTAGATAAAATAAAATATAACTTAAAAAATATAACCTTTAAAAGTGGCTCCAGGTCCATGGAACAGGCACAACACGTAAAATGTATGTAGAGCCAAAACTTTTTTTTTTACTTTTTGAGTAGGTTAAGACATTCACAATGCAATTTTTTTTATAAGGAGACCCCTAAACCCTAACCCCTAACCTATGTTTTTTGCTTTTGTTTTTAACCTACACTATATTGCCAAAAGTATTGGGCTAGCCCTCCAAATCATTGGATTCAGGTGTTCTAATCACCTCCATGGCCACAGGTGTATAAAATCAAGCACCCAGGCATGCAGACTGCTTCTACTAACATTTGTGAAAGAATGGGTTGCTCTGAGGAGATCAATGAATTCAAGCGTGGTACCGTGATAGGTTATCAGCTGTGCAAAAAGTTCATCCGATAAATTTCCTTGCTACTAAATATTCCACGGTCAGCTGTTAGTGGTATTATAACAAAGTGGAAGCAATTGGGAACAACAGCAACTCAGCCACGAAATGGTAGCCCATGTAAAATGACAGAGCAGGGTCAGCGCATGCTGAAGTGCACAGTGCGCAAAAGTCACCAACTGTCTGCAGAGGCAATAGATAAAGACCTCCAAACTTCATGTGGCCTTCAGGTTAGCACAACAACAGAGCTTCAAGGAATGGGTTTCCATGGCTGAGCAGCTGCATCCAAGCCTTACATCACCAAGCGCAATGCAAAGCATCAAATGCAGTGGTGTAAAGCACGTCGCCACTGGACTCTAGCCTTCGTCTTGTGTTAGGGTCGGCACTGACCCCTTTTTAGGTTTTAAATGCGTAAAATAACCAAATAAATTTGTTTATTGCATCAAGGCTTTATGACTTTGTCAGGAACCTCTATTTCAACAAAATAAAAAAAAAATAATTGTTTTCACTAAATTATAAATTGCTCAAGTTGAAATTATGACTTTTGTGTTGTTAGGGTCGGTTTTGACCCAGTTATAAAAATAAGATTATAAAGCAATAATTAGAGCCAAAACTGAAATCATAAGTTCACTGTCAACCAGCACACTGACAGCCAGCTCCTCTCCCAATCATGTGAGCTTTAGGGGATTCTCATTTTGCCTTGTTTTCCAGTATACCTGCACAAAAACAAAACAAACAAAGACAGGCATGTCTAGACATGTGAGGCCAATTCAGTATAGAATTGGTGACTTGCAGAGTGCACATCTCCAATTTGTAGCATGCAAAAATGAGAAGATTTTCATTGAGCCAAGTTCTGGATAATATTTTTGGTGAAAATGAGGGAGAGGACACAGAGGAGCATAGTGATTTGGATGAGCAGGTCTCTGAGGAGGAAGACAATGTGGAGTATCATCCAGAAGACACAGACACATCTGATGAGTCTGATGAGGAGGCCACCGGTGCTGAAGCTGCTCCCGCTGAAATATTCAAGTCCAAAAATGGTAAGATCTGTTGGAGCTCAGTACCTCCTGATGTACATGGCAGGGCAGCTGCTGCAAATGTCATCAAAATGACCCCTGGAATCACAAGGTTTGCTGTGATGAGAGTCAGTGACATCAAGACTTGTTTTGAGCTATTTATGCCATTGTCACTAAAAAGAGTCATCATTGCTATGACAAACCTTGAAGGAAAAAAAGTCCATGGCAGCATATGGAAAGACATTGATGAGGAATACCTGGATGCCTATATTGCTGTTCTTCTTCTTGCTGGAGTGTACAGATCCTGCAATGAGGCCACAGATAGTCTGTGGGACGCATCGACAGGCAGAAATATTTTACGGGCAACAATGTCACTTCAGACCTTTTAAATGATATCAAGAGTCCTCAGATTTGACAACAGAGATACCAGAGCAAGATCTGACAAGCTTGCCCCCATCAGGGATGTCTGGGAGAGATGGGTGCAGCTCCTTCCACTGATGTTCAACCCTAGGCCAGAGGTGACAATGGATGAACGTCTTGTCCCTTTCCGAGGAAAATGCCCCTTCCGGCAATACATACCCAGTAAGCCAGGGAAGTATGGCATAAAAATCTGGGCAGCCTGTGATGCAAAAACCAGCTATGACTGGAATCTACAGATTTACACAGGCAAAGCTGCAAGTGGCATCCGTGAGAAAAACCAAGTGGTCCTCGATATGACTACTGGACTGCAGGGTCACAATATCACTTGTGACAATTTTTTTACCAGCTATGACCTTGGACAAGAACTTCTCAGGAGGAAACTTACCATGGTGGGCACAGTGAAGAAAAATAAACCTGAGCTGCCTGCTGAAATGTTGCAGTTGAAGGACAGGGCTGCACTGTCCACAAAGTTTGCTTTCACAGACACCACCACTGTTGTCTCATATTGTCAAAAAAAAAAAAACGGAATGTGATACTTATGTCTACTCTTCACAAAGATGCAGCTGTGTCATCAGGAAGTGACAAAAAGCCACAATTATCCTTGACTATAACAAAAACAAAGGAGGTGTGGACAACCTAGACAAGCTGACTGCCACCTACACTTGCCAGTGAATGACCAGGAGATGGCCAATGGTTGTGTTTTACAACATCCTTGATGTGTCTGCATATAATGCATTTGTGTTGTGGACCCACATCCACCAAGGATGGAACTCAACCAAAAAAAGTAAGCGGAAAATGTTTCTTGAGGAGCTGGGAAATTCCCTTGTCAAGTCTCACTGTCAGGGTTCCAGGGTATGACCAGAGGTATGTGACTGACGCAGGGAAATGCAGGCTTCAGATAAGTTATAAACAATATCATTTATTCAAGACTAACAATACAAACATAAACGCAGTGCAATACTAAAACATAACACAGTGCAAACGAACCAAACCACCCACAGATAACAATACATACAATGCAAGCGTCCTCAGGCAGGCCGGGTCAATAACAAACGGGCAGGTAGGAACAGGAGGAGCAGGCAGAGAGTAGTCAGGTCACGAGCCGGGTACAGCAACTAACAGGCAGGTAGGTACAGGGGGGTCAGGCAGAGAATGGTCGGGTCACAAGCCCGGGATCAGAACAGGAGAAGTCAGCAGAGGTCCAGATCAAGCAGGGTCAGCAACAAGACAGGAACAGGATGCAGGAACAAGATACAGGGCCCAGGAAAAACACACACCCAAGGCAGAGTCTGCAGGTCTGGCCATCCCTTAAATACACCTGCATAAGCAGTTTCAGGTGTTTGGCTGGCTGCAGGGTTGAGTCTTTGATTGCTGGGAGCACCCGCTGGCCAGCCCTGGTACTGCAGCCCATAAGGCAGGTGAGTCCCACCATTGCTGGCCAGTCCATTCCTGACAGTACCCCCCCCTCAAGGAGCGGCCTCAGGACGCTCCAAACAGTCCTAGCTGGTCAAAATGTTCCACCGCCCGGGTCTGGTAACTGGCGGGATATCAAAGACTGGCACACTGGCAGGACTCCGGGCAGCAGGACTCCGGGCAGCGGCACACCGGGCAGAGGCACATCGGGCAGCGGCACATCGGGCAGCGGCACATCGGGCTGGACTCCGGGCAGCGGCACATCGGGCTGGACTCCGGGCAGCGGCACATCGGGCTGGACTCCGGGCAGAGGCACATCGGGCTGGACTCCGGGCAGAGGCACATCGGGCTGGACTCCGAATCACCAGGTGGAGCAGTGGGCCCCCCGGGCCACCAGGCGGAGCGGCGGGCGCCGGGCCCCCAGGTGGAGCGGCAGGCATCGGGCCCCCAGGCGGGGCGACAGGCATCGGGCCCCCAGGCGGAGCGGCGGGCGCCGGACCCCCAGGCGGAGCAACAGGTCTCGGGCCCCCAGGTGGAGCGACAGGTCTCGGGCCCCCAGGCGGAGCGGCGGGCGCCGGACCCCCCAGGCGGAGCGACAGGTCTCGGACCCCCAGGCGGAGCGACAGGTCTCGGGCCCCCAGGCGGAGCGGCGGGCGCCGGACCTCCAGGCGGAGCGACAGGTCTCGGGGCCCCCAGGCGGAGCGACAGGCACCGAGTCACCAGGCACGATAGTGAGCTCCGAGTCAACTGGCATGACCGCGGGCACTGGGTCAGACATTGGATCGTCTGGCTGGACAGCGGGCATCGGGTCACCAGGCATCAGGTCATTTGGCTCGACAGCGGGCACCAAGTCATCTGGCAAGGCAGTGGGCACCGAGTCACCAGGCACGACAGTGGGCTCTGAGTCAATTGGCATGACCGCGGGAACTGGGTCAGACATTGGATCGTCTGGCCCGACAGCGGGCATCGGGTCACCAGGCATGACAGCGGGCACTGGGTCATCAGGCATGGGGTTGTCTGGCTCGACAGCGGGCATCGGGTCCCCAGGTATGACAGCGGGCACTGGGTCACCAGGCATCAGGTCATTTGGCTCGCCAGCGGGCACCGTGTCATCTGGCACCGAGTCACCAGGCACGACAGTGGGCTCCGAGTCAACTGGCAAGACTGCGGGCACCGAGTCAACTGGCGGAACAGTAGGCATCGAGTCGTCTGGCAAGACTGCGGGCACCGAGTCAACTGGTGGAACAGCGGGCTTCGAGTCGTCTGGCAATACTGCGGGCACCGAGTCGTCTGGCAAGACTGCGGGCACCGAGTCAACTGGCGGAACAGCGGGCATCGAGTCACCTGGTAAGACTGCGGGCACCGAGTCGTCTGGCAAGATCGCGTGCTCCGAGTCGTCTGGCAAGACTGCGGGCTCCGAGTCATCTGGCAAGACTGCGGGCACCGAGTCGTCTGGCAAGACTGCGGGCTCCGAGTCGTCTGGCAAGACTGCGGGCTCCGAGTCAACTGGTGGAACAGCGGGCTTCGAGTCGTCTGGCAAGACTGCGGGCACTGAGTCGTCTGGCAAGACTGCGGGCACCGAGTCGTCTGGCAAGACTGCGGGCACCGAGTCAACTGGCGGAACAGCGGGCATCGAGTCACCTGGTAAGGCTGCGGGCACCGAGTCGTCTGGCAAGACTGCGGGCTCCGAGTCGTCTGGCAAGACTGCGGGCTCCGAGTCGTCTGGCAAGACTGCGGGCTCCGAGTCGTCTGGCAAGACTGCGGGCACCAAGTCAACTGGTGGAACAGCGGGTTTCGAGTCGTCTGGCAAGACTGCGGGCACCGAGTCGTCTGGCAAGACTGCGGACACCGAGTCGTCTGGCAAGACTGCGGGCACCGAGTCAACTGGCGGAACAGCGGGCATCGAGTCACCTGGTAAGACTGCGGGCACCGAGTCATCTGGCATGATCGCGGGCTCCGAGTGTCTGACAAGACTGCGGGCTCCGAGTCGTCTGGCAAGACTGCGGGCACCGAGTCGTGGCAAGACTGCGGGCACCGAGTTGTCTGGCAAGACTGCGGGCTCCGAGTCGTCTGGCAAGACTGCGGGCATCGAGTCGTCTGGCAAGACTGCGGGCACCGAGTCGTCTGGCAAGATCGCGGGCTCCGAGTCGTCTGGCAAGACTGCGGGCACCGAGTCGTCTGGCAAGACTGCGGGCTCCGAGTCGTCTGGCAAGACTGCGGGCTCCGAGTCGTCTGGCAAGACTGCGGGCACCGAGTCAACTGGCGGAACAGCGGGCATCGAGTCACCTGGCATGATAGGATCATCAGGCTGCATCAGTTCATCAGGCCGGATCAGTTCATCAGGCTGGATCAGTTCATCAGGCCGGATCAGTTCATCAGGCTGGGTACAGACATCAGGCTGGATCAGTTCATCAGGCTGGGTACAGACATCAGGCTGGGTACAGACATCAGGCTGGATCAGTTCATCAGGCTGGGTACAGACATCAGGCTGGGTACAGACATCAGCTGAAGTGCAGGCGCGAGGCACCAGGCTGAACCACGGAAGGCAGGTTCTCAGACGGCAGGCTCACGGTTTGGAAACTGGCAGGATGGTATTGGTTGGAAAGAATTTTCGCTTTTTTTCTGGTTTTAACTACTGGAGCACTGCAAGTAAACGCAGGTCTGCAAACGAATGGAGCAGCTGGAGACAGAGAAGAGCTGGAGGATGGAACAGAGGAGGGAGCAGTTGCTACAGAGGGCTTTTTTACAGGGTTAAAGGCAGGATAGGTGCAGCGAGTGGGAACAGGGTACTGACATGCGGTAGATAGCCAAGTATACTGGGCTGTAACTGGAGGTGCTGTTGGGAATGCAGGAATAGAGCTTTGAGGAAATAGATTAGAAGCAGGACTGGGTTTTTGTAAGCTGACTGAGGCTGGGTGTAACAAATCTGTCCATGTCTGCAGTATGGGTTGAACAAAGCTGAGCTTACACAAAGCCTGTCTGACCAAAGACTGCACTGCGTTTATACAATCTCCTAGTACCTGTGGTGAACATGCAGAATAACGCTCCAGAAAGTAATCCACATCATCCTCTAATAACCATACCAGGGACTCTACCTGGTCTGCACTAAATGGTGGCAAAAATTCATCCCTGCATTCGGGGGTACCAGATGAAACCAACTCAGCACAAACCTGAATCAATGGCTGCACCTCAGAGAATTCTGTGCCTTGATCTACTAGAACATGAGCGATCCGTATATATTCTAGCAGTTCATCCCGGGGATACTCCTTCAGAGTTTGATAAGCATACTCTCTGTCATCAAACACTAGCAGAGATAAATACACACCTCATCAAGATCCATCCTTCCCAGCAACAAGCCAAGATGGCTTCCCTGTGCAGCCACTTCTGGTCAGGATTGGCCTTGGTGTAATGTCAGGGCTCCAAGGTATGACCAGAGGTATGTGACTGACGCAGGGAAATGCAGGCTTCAGATAAGTTAGAAACAATATAATTTATTCAAGACTAACAATACAAACATAAACGCAGTGCAATACTAAAACATAACACAGTGCAAACGAAACAAACCACCCACAGATAACAATACATACAATGCAAGCGTTGTCAGGCAAGCCGGGTCAATAACAAACGGGCAGGTAGGAACAGGAGGAGCAGGCAGAGAGTAGTCAGGTCACGAGCCGGGTACAGCAACTAACAGGCAGGTAGGTACAGGGGGGGTCAGGCAGAGAATGGTCGGGGTCACAAGCCCGGGATCAGAACAGGAGAAGTCAGAAGAGGTCCAGATCAAGCAGGGTCAGCAACAAGACAGGAACAGGATGCAGGAACAAGATACAGGGCCCAGGAAAAACACACACACCAAGGCAGAGTCTGCAGGTCTGGCCATCCCTTAAATACACCTGCATAAGCAGTTTCAGGTGTTTGGCTGGCTGCAGGGTTGAGTCTCTGATTGCTGGGAGCACCCGCTGGCCAGCCCTGGTACTGCAGCCCATAAGGCAGGTGAGTCCCACCATTGCTGGCCAGTCCATTCCTGACACTCACATTGAGCGAAGGGAACGGGTGCCCCGAGACCCAGATGCTGCAGTCTTGGTCAGACAGCTGCAGAGGTCACCTAGCACTTTGTCCATGCCAGCATCCTCTTCAGCCAGCCCTGCCTCAACATCATCCACAACAGCCACAACCACAACCCCACTCAGGCCACCTGATTCTAAAAGAAAGAGGTGTCAGGTCTGCCCAAGCAGTAAGGACAGAAAGACAAATGTACTGTGCTTCAACTGCAACAAATATCTCTGCAAAGAACACACTAAAGTGTCACTTTTTGCCACACATGCATCTAAACACACACACACATGTTCTTGCACACAGACTTTTACTCTGATTTTGTTTTTTATTAGTATTGGAACAAGTAATTGATTTCTATTGGTTTGATTTGCTTGATTGGTTGTTGTTTGTTTGACCTTGCAAATCTATATTTTGTTATATTTATGTTATATACAGTATATATATATGTATATATATATATATATATATATATATATATTTGTTCTGTTTTTCATTTTGTGTTTGTACTAAAGTTCTATTGCTGAAAAAAACAGACTTTTTTGCCTTTTTGAAGTAATTATATACTGTATATGGGTCGAAATTGACCCGTAACATCATAGATGTTACTATAGTTAATAATATTAAAATGAAAAAATAAACAAAACAAATTTATTTCAGAGATGTGTTCTAAATCCCCTCAGTAATAGTCAGGTGACATAACAACCTTTTATTTATTTATATGATTCTCTTGAGGTTCATTTTACATTGTTTTTTAATTGAAATTGAGGGGTATACTGACAAAAAAAAGGCCCAGGAGCCCACACCAAAAATATTAAATCCAATATTTTCATGGATAAGGAAGCCTAACAAGGTAACCAAGAGATGAGAAACAAATTGGATGATAGATAATTGTTTTTAGTGTATTTTACAGCTGATTTAAGACATGGGTCAAAACCGACCCGTTAACATAAGAGATGGTAACAGGAAAACTAACACAAGAGGAAGGCTAGAGCAATGGAGACATGTTCTCTGGAGTGACAAATCATGCTTCTCTGAGAACAGTACTTGCCTGACTGCATTGTGTCAATTGTAAAGTTTGGTGGAGATGGGATTATGGTGTAGGGTTGTTTTTCAGGGGTTGGGCTTGGTCCCTTAGTTCCAGTGAAGGGAGCTCTTAAGGTGTCAGCATGCCAAAACATTTTGGACAATTTCATGCTCCCAACCTTGTGGGAACAGTTTTGGGATGGCCCCTTCCTATTCCAACATGACTGCCCACCAGTGCTCAAAGCAAGGTCCATAAAGACATGGATGAGTGAGTTTGGTGTCAAGGAACTTGACTGGCCTCCAGAGAGTCCTGACCTCAACCCGAAAGAACACCTTTGGGATGAATTAGAGAGGAGACTGCGAGCCATGCCTTCTCATCCAACATCAGTGCCTGACCTCACAAATGCACTTCTGGAAGAATGGTCAAACGTTCCCATAGACACACTTCTAAACCTTGTGGACAGCCTTCCCAGAAAAGTTGAAGCTGTAAAGGGTGGGCCAACTCAATACTGAACCCTATGGACTAAGACTCGGATGCCATTAAAGTTCATATGTGTATAAAGGCAGGCGTCCCAATACTTTTGGCAATATAGTGTAGCTGTAAAAAGCATAAAAAACCACCATAAAAAACTGCAAGGGGAGTCCAGCAGCTAAAGAGAAACTGAAGTTGTTGCAGACACACACAAAAAG